TGGTTCTGCCAAGGAGATGTGCCCAGTGTCCTCCCTGCCTGGGAACAGCCCCCACGAGGACCGCTGCAGGGAGGGTGTGGGGTGGCCAGCGGGAAGCCCCAGGGCCCAGGGTATCCTGCAGCATCCCCGGCCGTGGAGCAAGGCAGCCCCCAGTGCCCACGCCCTGGGCCAGCCCCGCTCTCCTGACAGCAGCTGACGGGGGACGCAAGGTTACCAGAGCACTAGAGTCCAGGGACCCCCACGGGTCGGGGCGTCCCTCATCCAGGAGTGGAGGAGTGGAGGAGCAGGCCGCGGGTCAGTTTTCAGTGCTGTAAATGTGGATTTCATGCTCCCGGCAGGTTTCCTTGACGACAGCAGGAAAATCAGTGACAGACAGCAGACCCCTGGCAGCAACGAGCTCACATCTGTTATTGCCTAAAAAAGAGAAGGAGAAGGGAAAGGAAGAGAAGGCCAAGGAGGCCAAACAGGTGACACCCGGGTGGCTGCGGTGCAGGGCTGGGCCAGGCCGGGGATGACCTGTGCCTCAGTTTCCCTTCCTGTCAGGGTTCTCGGAGGAGCACCAGATGGCCGTGATTCAGGGCCAGGCCAGGGATGGCCTGTGCCTCAGTCTCCCTGCCTGTCAGGGTTCTCAGATGAGCACCAGGGATGGCCTGTGCCTCAGTTTCCCCACCTGTCAGGGTTCTCGGAGGAGCACCAGATGGCCACAATTCAGGGCCAGGCCGGGGATGGCCTGTGCCTCAGTCTCCCTGCCTGTCAGGGTTCTCAGAGGAGCCCAGGTTGTCTCAATGCAGGGGCTGGGCCCAGGCCAGCATCTGTGCCTCAGTTTCTCTCCCCCGTCAGGGTTCTTGGAGGACAATGCAAGGGCACGTCTGTTAAGCACCCTGGCTGGATCCTGGCGGGAATCCTGGGTCTGGAGCTAGCCACATAACACATGCAGTTTGCACAAAGGACGTTGCCCCAGGTCCGCCAGGCTCAGAGACCGTGGCAGCAGGCATAGCCCAGGGCCTCGGTGTGTGGGGGGCTGGGTTCCAGAACAGCGAGAAGAGTGTTTTTGCATCGTGTGAAACCTTTCTCTTTGTAAGTATCCGCTTCTCCAAGTGCTGGGCAGGTCTGAGAAACCACTTGGCTGCGCAGCCTCCCGGAGCAGGATGCTCACACCTGCACCCTGACACGAGCACTGCTGAGCTCACCAGCCAGCTGCCATTGAGGCAGAGGCTGCAGAGCCTTAGCCCTCGGGGGTCCTGAGCCTGGGCACCCCCAGGCCAACTCTGGCTGTGCACGGGGCAGAAAGCTTTGCGTGCACTTCCTGCAAATAGTGTCGGAGGCTGGATCTGGGCACTCGCTGGGGCCTACTGGTGGGAGGACACCGGCTCCCCAGGCTGTGACCTGCCTGCTGTGCAGTCATGCCGTGGAGGTCTGCTGTTTAAACCATTTCAGGTAAATCCTGCATTCCTGCCCTTCCAGTCTCAAAGCCCAGCTCCTAACAAACCGCTGGAAGATTTGCCCACCAGCATAGAAGAGTGGGCTTGCTTCTCCTGCCCCGACGAAGTGCTGTCTATACTGAAACAGGACAAGCGCGACTCCACTGTGAACGCCGAAAGTATCCAGAAGCCGGTACTTTGACATAAAGACAATGCTCACCTTGGTCACAGCATGGTGTCCCCTTGACCTGTCCCCAAGTCAGTTTCCACAGTGGGCTGTAGCCAGAAAGAGGAGGATACGACAGTCCCCGCAGCCCCCAGCCCCACACCAGCCTTCCCGACACCACTCTGCCCCCAACTGCTGACACCCATGGAAACCCTTCCTTCTTTCCCCACCCGGGGACGATGCGTGCCTAGCGAGACACGCCGGGATGGTTCCCTGTGTTCGTGGCAACCTCCCACAACCGGGTGGTTAAAAAAGCAGAAATGGGCCGGGCGCGGTGGCTCACACCTGTAATCCCAGCACTTTGGGAGGCCGAGGTGGGCGGATCATAAGGTTGGGAGATCGAGACCGTCCTGGCCGACATGGTGAAACCGCATCTCTACTAAAATACAAAAAATTAGCCGGGCCTGGTGGTTCGCGCCTGTAGTCCCAGCTACTTGGGAGTCTGAAGCAGGGGAATCGCTTGAACCCAGGAGGCAGAGGTTGCAGTGAGCCAAGATTGCACCATCGCACTCCGCCTGGCAACAGAGCAAGACTCTGTCTCCAAAAAAAAAAAAACAGAAATGGACCCCCTCACAGTTCTGGAGGCCCAGAAGCCCCAAATCAGTATCCCTGGGCTCAAACCCAGGTGTGGGGAGGGCTGCACGCCATCCAGGTCCCCAGGGAAGAGTCCCTCTTGCCTCAACAGTGTCGGCCTCTGTAGTCACATGGCCTCCTTTTTGTGCGGAGATCTCTTGCTCCCTCCCACTCCCTCCCACGGGATTACATTTAGGGCACACCTGGACTATCCCAGAGACCCTCACCACCTCGGGGTCCTCACCTTCTCACATCCACATGTCCTTTTTGCCTTTCTGTGGCCATGCACACAGCTCCAGGGACTAGGACTGGGTGTCCTCCAGGTCTCCCTGCCTTGCTGGGGTGGATTCTTTTTGGCGAGCGTCCTTCACCAGGGACTCTGTCTGTGGCTGTGTCCCCATGATTTGTTTTGTGCATTGCCGTGGGTCCACGGCGTGGACAGGCCACAGTCTGTCTGTGTTTCATGCATTGCTGTGGGTGACACTGGACAGGCCACGGTCTGTGTGTTTCATGCATTGCTGTGGGTGACACTGGACAGGCCACGGTCTGTGTGTTTCATGCATTGCTGTGGGTGGCCCATTGCGTGGACAGGCCACGGTCTGTGTGTTTCATGCATTGCTGTGGGTGGCCCATTGTGTGGACAGGCCATGGTCTGTGTGTTTCATGCATTGCTGTGGGTGGCCCATTGCATGGACAGGCCACGGTCTGTGTGTTTCATGCATTGCTGTGGGTGACACTGGACAGGCCACGGTCCATGTGTTTCATGCATTGCCATGGGTGACCCATTGCGTGGACAGGCCACGGTCTGTGTGTTTCATGCATTGCTGTGGGTGGCCCATTGCGTGGACAGGCCACGGTCCGTGTGTTTCATGCATTGCCGTGGGTGACCCATTGCATGGACAGGCCATGGTCTGTGTGTTTCATGCATTGCCGTGGGTGACCCATTGCGTGGACAGGCCACGGTCTGTGTGTTTCATGCATTGCTGTGGGTGACCCATTGCGTGGACAGGCCACAGTCTATGTGTTTCATGAATCGTTTTCTTGTTATTGTTGTTAAGCTCTTTATAACTTTAGAAATTCGTCTGTAGATTAATTTGGATTTTGTGTGTACATAGTCATTTTACCTGCAAACGGATTTTTCTTTTCAACTTCCCGTTCTTTACTGTTTTTTTCCTTACCGTATCTCATATTCTGGCAGGGACCTCCCGTCTGAGGCTGAATAAAAACAGTGATGCCATCCACTTTCCTCTTGCTCCCTGTCGCAAAGGAAAGCTGTCAGCATTTTACTGTCAAGTGTAATTGACGTTTGTTGTAGGTTTTTATACATCTTTATTGATTAAGGAAGTTTCTATTCATTAAGAATTTTAGTCACGAATGTCTGTATGTTTTTATCAGATATTTTTCTCCATCTGTGCAGATGATGTTTCCATCTTTCATTCTTTGAATTAATTACCTTTGGTTCTTCTTAATGACTGTCCCAACAGGCAGCGTGGCTGTGCTGTCACTCACTTCGTGTCACCACGGTGATTGGCAGCACTTGGGTCCCGGGCGCGTGCGTCTGCGCTTGTGAGGAAGACAAGGTTTAATTTTCCTTTCGTGTGTGTCCTCAGGATGTGGTAAAAGTGATGCTGGCCTTTTAGTCAGTTAGAAAGTGTTCCCTTCTGACCATTCTTGGGGGGAATTTATATAAGATTGGTGGTTATTTCATCCTTGAAAGTTTGGAAGAGCTCCCTGGTGAAGCCATCTGAGCCCAGAGCTTCTGTCGGGGAAGGTTTTAAATTATGGCTCCAGTGTATTTCACAGTTACAGAATTCTTCAGAGCTTCTGTTTCTTCTTGTAACAGTTTTTTGGATGTATCGTCATGAAGTTGTTCTCAATGTCCTTGTATTACCTTTTAATGGCTGTGGGATCTGTAGACAGCCCTGCCATTCCTCTCTCGCTCTCCCGATCAGCCTCCCTGGGACAGATCAATTCCATCAACCTCTCAAATTCCATCAGCCTCTCAAAGCATCCCTGTGCTTTCCAGGCTGCCTGCAGCCCCCCTGCCTGGCTGTTGTCCCTGAGGAGACGGCCTCCTCCTAGAATGCCTTGAATTCTAAGGTGCAGCCCTTCGGGGACCCAGCCTGAAAGAGAGCGGAGCTCTTGGTGGGCCCTGAACGCAGTTTTCTGAGCCCAGCCTGCAGCACCATCTGGAGCACCACGTGGCCCTCAGCTGCCTGGGTGCCTGACGGCCAGGCTCGCGTCCTGGCTGCATGCTGTCTTCCAGATCTTGGCCCAGTCATTCTTTGGACATTGATTAACTCCTAGTTCTTAGATTTTTGCAACAGGGTCATCCAGCTTTCCTAATGTCCCACTCAAGAGTAATTGTTTTAACAAACCGACTCCAACATCATGGGAAGCATTGGCTCTTCTGCATGTATTAAGTTTTTAAGTGGTTGTGTGTACACAAAGAAATCCTATTTCTAATGAGTCAGTAGTTTTTAGTAGAAAAGGGAAACAAACACATAGTTTGAATAAATACATGAACGAGTATGTTTCTTATGAGGATCTTCATAGTTGGGTGCTGATGTTCACAGAAATTATCACGTGATAAAATGAAACCTGTGAGTGGAGGAGGGAGGGAAGGTAGCACAGCCCCCGTCCGTCCCACAGACCCGCTCTGAGCACCTGCTGTGCACACACCCGGCGCAGGGAGGGAGGGAGTTTTCTGAGGAAAGACCCTATGCTTGTGGTCTGCACCTGCTCCCCTGACCTCCTACGTGTGTCTTGTGTCCATGTAGACGTACAGTCTGTATTTCCTGGACCACCTGGTCAAGGCCCTGCAGAAGATGTGCCTGCATGAGCTCACGGTCCCCATCCTGCAGCTGGGGGTGCTGATTTCGGAGTCCGTGGTGGGAAGCAAGGGCCTGGCGGATCTCTACCGCCTCCGGTGGGTACGGCTCCTTTCTCTTCCAGAGTGCAATTTCTCCAAAGCAATACGAAAATGAACAACATGTTAAAATATTGGTTATGTAGTTGTCTGTGCAAATAATAAGGTCCCTGGAACTTGGACACCAAGTAAATAAAAATATTTGTCTATAAAAACGGTATTTTTGGTTGGGACGGGAGGACTGTTTGATCCCAGGGGTTTGAGACCAGCCTGGGCAATATAGCAAGACATAATTTCTACAAAAAATTTAAAAAATATATTAGCCAGGTACGGTGACACAACCGTTGTCCCAGCTACTCAGGAGGCTGAGGCAAGAGGGTCACCTGAGCTGAAGAAGTGGAGGCTGCAGTGAGCTCTGATTGTGCCGCACTCCAGCCTGGGCAACACAGCAGGACCCTGTTGCTAACCATTTTTTAAATAAAATATGATATTTTAATTTTAAAATTTATCCCTGATCCTTAAGAGAACATTCTTGTTTTAAGGGTGTATCTTGGAGATACTGCAGGTTGGGTTCCAAAACAAAGCAAGTATCACAATAAAGCACGTCAAATGAAGTTTTTGGTTTTCCAGTGTATATAAAAGTTGTGTTTACACTATTCTGTAGTCTGCCAAGTGTGCAATAGCATTATGTCTAAAAAATGTACGTATATTCATTTAAAATGTATGTACTAAAAATACAAAAAAGGCTAGCAGTTTCTTAAAATAAGACAACAATAAAATTTGCCACATTGGTCAACTCTTTCACAAAAGATTTCTCTGTCACAGGCAATGCTGTTTGACAGAATTTCACCCACGGTAGAAGTTCTTTCACAATTGCAGTCAGTCTCTTAGATGCTGCTGCCACTTTATCAGCTCAACCCATGGAATATTCTAGGTCCTTTGTTGTCATTTCCACGGTGTTCACAGCATCGTCACCAGGAGCAGATCCCATCCCAAGAAACCGCTTTCTCTGCTCATCCGTAGGAGGCAATCAGGTTTTCCCTTGAGATGGCCGCAGTGTAGTCCCGTCTTCAGGCCCCACTTCTGATTCTAGTTCTCTTGCTGCTTCCCCCACGTCTGCAGCTCCTTCTGTGGAAATCCTGAACCCTTCAAAGTCATCCACAAGGGCTGGAATCAACTTCTTCCAAATTCCTGTTAATGTTGCTATTTTGGCCTCCTCCCATGAATCAGGAATGTTTTTAATGGGATCTAGAATGGCGAACCCTTTCCAGAAGGTTTTCAATTCACTGCCCAGATCCATCAGAAAAATCACTCTTGGTGGCAGCTACAACTTTATTGAATGTGCTTCTTAAATAGTAAGACTTAAAAAGTTGAAATGACGCCTTGGTCCAGGCTGCAGAATGGATGTGGTGTTGGCAGGTGCGGAGACAGCATTCACCTCCTCGTGCATCTCCGTGAGATCTCTTGGGCGGCCGGACCATTGCCACTGAGTGGTACTGTTCTGAAAGGAATCTGTGTTTCTGAGCAGCAGGTCTCAACAGTGGGCTTTAAGTATTCAGCAAATCATGCTGTCAACAGATGTGCTGTCACCCAGGCTTTGCTGTTCCACTTACAGAGCATGGGCAGAGTCAATTTAGCCTCATTCTTAAAGGCCCTAGGATTTTCAGAATGGTGAGTGAGGACTGGCTTCAGCTGAGAGTCCCCAGCTGTGCTGGCCCCTAACAAGAGAGTCAGCCTCTGCTTGGAAGCTTTGAAGCCAGGCAATGACTTCTCTCCAGTCATGGAAGCCCTGGCCGGCATCTTCTTCCAGTAGAAGGCTGTATGGTCTGCAGTGGAAGACTGCTGATTAGCATAGCCCCCGTCAGTGTCTGATGAGCTGGGTCTGCCGGCTAACTTGCTTCAGCCTCTCCATCAGCCCTTGCTGCTCCACCTGGCACTTTTACGTTGTGGAGACAGCTCTGTCCCAAAACCTCACGAGCCCACCTCTGCCAGCTCCAGACTTTTCTTCTGCAACGTCCTCACATCTCTCAGCCTTCATCAGATTGAATAGAATGAAGGCCTCGCTCTGGATTAGGCTTCAACTTAAAGGAATTTTGTGACTGGTTTGATCTTCCGCACAGACCATCGAAACTGCTTCGTATCAGCAGCGAGGCTCCTTCGCTTTCTTATTGTTGGTATCCATATGTTCTCTGAAGGAGCACTTCTAATTTCTTTGCAGAACCTTCCCTTTGCACTTACAACTTGGTTAACTGTTGGGGGCCTAGCTTTCAGTCTGTCTCCACTTTTGACACCCTTCCCTCACTAAACTTAATCATTTTGGCTTTTTATTTGAAGTGAGAGGCGTGCGACTGTTCCTTTCTCTTGAACACTTAGAGGCCATTGTAAGGTTATTCACTGGCCTCATTTCAAAATGTCTGTGTCTTGGGGAATAGGGAGACCCGGCGGGAGGGAGGGCGATGGGGGAGCGCTGGACATTTATCAACCAGGTTCACCGTCTTACATGGGCATGGTTTATGGTGCCGCAAAACAGTTACAGTGGTAACCTCAGAGACCACTGAACACAGATCGCCGTAACCCGATAATAAGAATGACAACGTTTGAAATATTTCAAGAATTGCCAAAATGTGACACAGAGATACCAGGTGGGTATGGGCTGTTGGAAAATGGTGCTGATGGACTTGGCCGACGGGGCTTGCCCCAGACTTTCAGTCGTGAAATAAGCAGTGTCTGAGAGTGTGTTAAATGGAGGTGTGCCCGGGCCGGGGAAGGATCTGGGGAAGGGTGCGCAGATACGCCAGGGCAGGGCGAGGGAGAGGGAGCCGGAGCAGCTGTGGCCGCGAGGCGCCTCCTGGTGTCTGTACAGCCTTCCCGCTTACCTGAAAGCATTTTACAAGAACAAGGCTTTCAACAGGAGTGGAGGCTTCTCCGCTTATGGTGGGTGCTGAGCCTACCTGAGGACAGCACCCAGTCGCCGGCGGATAACGCCTCACACGAGAGCTGTGGAGGAGCGGGGAGAATCCTGCCTGAAATGCGATGGAGCTGCCTGGCACTTTTCCCTAGTAATTTTACTGACCTTCAAACATTGTTGAAAATACCTTCAAAGTCCGCCTTGATGTTTCAGTTGACTATTGAGCACACTAAGCCCAGTAACTTCTGTCTCTGGCTCCCTCTGCCCCTGCGCAGAGCTGACTCTGGCCGCCCTCCCCACAGCCTCGCCCACGTGTGCTCCGAGCTGAAGCTGAGGGAGGCAGCGGTGCAGCATGAAGAGGCGGTCGGGCAGGTGCACATCAGCGAGCTGGAGCAGGCCAGGTGCGTGCAGGCCCACCCGCGCCACCTGGGGTTCCGAGCTCACGCTTGGTGCGGTGCCCGGCCTGGTGCAAGCCACCATGAGGACAACCAGCGGCCACCCTCTGCCCTGGACTCCTGCCTCTCCGGGAAGGGCATGTCTCGGGGGCGGTGCCTGGGGAGAGGGAGCGCTCGGGGAGTCAGCTGTGGCTGGTTCTCCTGGGTCGAGCTGGAGGTGGGCTGTGGGGAGGTGCTCCTCATGGAGGGAAGGAGGGGCGGTGAGGGGAGCTCCCCAGGCTGGCCCAGCCCCTCCCAGGACCACAGAAAGGCGGGGCACGGGCCCTGGACCCTTGGGCACTGGGTGCTGGGCAGTGCTAGGTCAGGCCGCTGGTGGCTCTGACAGCCTTCAGGCACGAGTTCACTTCAGAGGTGCTGCAATTGACCAACATCAGGCTGTTTAACAACCAACTCTCGTGACTATAGCAAATCACTTTTAGATTTAGAGACCATCTCGGAAACACATCTGTGCTGTGATTATATATGGTTCCATTTTGTTCGCTTTTACAAGATACTTTTAAATTACATACGTGATACATGTTACAGTGAAAATCTTAGAACACGTAGGTAGATAGAAGAAAGAGGAAAACAGACGTCATACCGGCCACGTCACCCAGCGTGACCCTGTTCATATTTCCACATACGCTCTTCCGGCCACTCCGCACTGCATAGAAACAGACGCTGTCACTGTGGACGTGGAATTGAGCTTCCTCTGCTCTGGCTAACCCGCCTTGGTGACCAACGCTGGCCTGCGATGTGAACTTCACACTTGTCAGTGCCATGGGCTATTTGTCCGGCCCTCGGCTGGACATTGGACCTGTGCTCACACTCTCCTGGTCTGAGTGACGTGGGGTCTTTGGCCCGGTTGTCCGCACAGCCCTAAAATCAGCTTGGAGAAGCGGAGCTCCCGGGGCCGTGGAGTCCCCGTTCCCTCCTGTGCATTTTTTTACCAGCTGCAGAGGGCGGCAGATGCAGAGGCTAGAGCAGCGTGGGGAGGCCAGTGTGGTGGGCTGTGCTGGGAGCAGTGACGTCTCGGCAGCAAGGGGGCCTCCACCTGGAACCCACGTGGCTGCGGAGGCCTGGTCAGGGGTGTGCAGCCCTCGGGAGATGGCTGGAGGACTCAGAGACCCAGGGGCTGGGGCTGGGGCCTGTCAGGGTCTTGACCCCTCCTGGCCTGTCTTCTGAAGGACCTCTCTGGACGTGGTGTGGCAAGTGGCCAGGGCCTGGGGTTCGTGGCACAGGAGAAGGCGGGACAGTCGGGCTGTGGCCGGGACCAGGTGGAGGGTGAAGGGGAAGGCAGCAGGCACCCTGAAGACCCCGCAGGAAGGCCAAGCAGAGGAGCAGGAGCCCCCCAGGGACAGCAGTTGCTGCCGAGCTTTCAGACGGGGGCGCCCGCAGGAGGCACGGGGCGGGGGGGGGGCAGGGCTGGGGGGCAGGGCTGGGCACGCTGCTCTGGAGAGATGGAGCCCCAGATGCTCATGAAACGCCTGCCAGACTTTCAGACAGCAGCTGGGCCTGAGTTCGGAGTTTGGAAGAGAGAAACCAGTGACGGACTTCAAATGAAGTCAGACTTCATCTGACTCCACGCACCCTGATATGGGTGCGTGGAGTCAGATGTGCCGTTAGATCCTGAGGATTTTTAAAAATCTCTGTAAACATTCAAGTGAAGAGTGTAATTGTCACTGTTTTCGTTTGCATTTCTTTGATTACTGGTGAAGTGACATTTTCGTGGCCATGTGGTTTTTCTTTTGCATATCGTCTGCTTTACTCACGTTAGCTGCAGAAAAGAGATCGCACTGAAAAGAGAGAAAAACAAGGAGCCCTTGTTAGAAGAAAGCCTGCCAGCACTCAACGAGCAGACACTTGCCGCCCACTCTGTAGAGATCAAACCACTGGAAGCCAAGGACAGGGTAACCTCACCGTCCAGAATCCTGACCGGCTGGACCCCGTGGCTCGTGGCTGTGCAGGCCGCAGCTGAGCCAGGAGGCAGCCCATGTGTCAGTGTGCCAGGGGCTTCCTGCACGGTTTCTCTCCCGTGAGCCCTGGAATTCCCCTGGGAAAGACGAGCTTATGTGCACCGCGGGCCTCCCTGGAACAGGCCTGCCAGGCACCTGAGCAGAGGCAGTGAGAAGGTGGGGGAGGCGAAGAGAGGTCTCTGGCCAGAGGTCCCCATCGCCTGACAGAACGGTTTTCCCGTCTGTGCCACCCGGGCTTCCCACCCCTCAGTGGCAGAGCGCAGCACCCTTCTGGGTTTGCCCGTGAAGGAAGGTGACCAGCCCAGCTCCTAACCCTAAACACAGTTACCATGGGAGCGCCACTGAGGAGCAAAGGCCATGCTTCCTGTGATCTGGCAGGCAGGACGGGGGCTCAGCACAGGACCTGCATCCACAGCACAGCAGAGTGGGCTTAGCCACCACCCCGGGCCTCGAGGGGGGCCTCTGACTAGCGAGGAGGGGGCAAGGGGGTGTGGGGCAGACCGAGATCCCAGGGCAGGGACTCAGCCACCGGCCCATGCTGTGGGGGCAGCTCTGCCTAGTGAGGCGGGGTGGGTGGTGGTCCCAGATCCCAGGGCAGGGGCTCAGCCACCGGCCCATGCTGTGGGGGGGGCTCTGCCTAGTGAGGCGGGGGGTTGCGGGGTGGGCCCAGATCCCAGACAGCAGCTCAGCCACCAGCGCAATCCCTGGGGCACCCTAGCAAGGCCGGGTGCAGGGCTGCAGGGCAGGCCTAGATGGCGGGTTGGTTGGCAGTCTGAGGTGGGCTCGGGCTCCTACACCCTGATATGGGTGTGTGGAGTCCGGAAGGCTCTGCGTGGCCACTGGTGGGCTTGGTTGGCTTCAAAGGATTCGGGGGAAGAGGGGGGTGCATGGGGCGTGGGAGGTCTGTGGGAGGAGATGGCAGAGGACTGAGCTGTGGCCTCAGGGTTCACGGGGAGCTTGCGAGGCACCCACAGTGCGGTACAGACCCCCTCAGAGGTCACAGGTGTCGGGACTGGGCCGCTTGGGGCTGCCGTGTCTTACAGATTTTGAAGATGAATGGGGAGACTGGGAGGGGCCTCGATGGGACGTCCTATCCCCACCTGTGGATTCTGAAGGCAGAGGTTCTGCTGGAGATGAGCATGTACCAGCCTGCACGGCTGCTCCTGTCCGAGGCTCACCTGGCTTTCCAGGTGAGGGGCCCCTCCCAGCACACTGCGCACAGCTGAGGGGCTGCAGGCGGGAGCAGTGTTCAGTTCCAGGAAGCCCACCTGCCTCCGTGGCCTGGGTCCCGCGCGTCCTCTGTCTGACGGTCCAGCTTTCGCTCTGTGACCCACGGTTTGCGGAAGTTTCTGTTTCCAGTACCTGCTGTGGTCTCTGTGACCGCGTCTCTCTGTGACCACATTTCTCTGTGGCCGCGTTTCTCTCGTGTGTCCTTGGCTCAGCTCTGCCTCCTGCCAGTCAGTTTCTTTCCTTCTGAGGCTGGACGAGAACTTGGAGAATCCCAGAGGGTGTCAGTGCCGAAAGCACCACTTTGTTCTAGAAGGCGGATCATGCGCAGGGCCGCCTGGGTCCAGGGGTCGGAGCCTGGTCTAGTCTTGGTTCGTTTTGCTCTCACTCTCTGGATGCGACCCTTACTGTTCCCGCCGAAAGCCCCAGGACATCTGCCGAGGCCCCATCTTGTGGGTGCCGCAGCTGTTCTGTCTCAGCAGGTTCCCGCCTGGCTTTGTGAAATCCTGCTCTGCTGTGAGCAGCCCAGCCCAGCCCAGCCCAGCGCACAGCCCCAAGGGGGAGTGTGGACCTCCGGCCCTTCGCCTATGCCCCTCCTCCTGGGACAGGCCCTGCCCCAGCTCCAGCCCCCTCTCCTCCCCTGCTGCGCTCCTGCTTTCCCCGGGTTTCAAACCCCACAGGGACAGCAGCCCCAGGAGAACGCCAGGGTGGATGGAGGCCCGTGGGGGCTTCGCTCTGTGCCAATTGTAGTTGCACAGGCCCAGCACCTGGGCGGAAATGAGGCTTTCTGCTACAGGTCCGTTCCGACTCTGGCGGAGCTCTCCTCAGCACTGACTGCCCCACAAACCCACCTGCAGACACATGGTGACATCTTGTGTCCAGATTTTAGAGTTGCTTTCACTGGGAGGGTGAGGCAGAACTGCAGAACCAGACAGCCTATCACTTTTTCTGAAGAATAATTCCAGAAAAAGAGAAGAACCTAGAAGGGTATAAAAATTCAGTGATGCCCATCAAGGCCTTGAGAGGTTCAGACTGTCTCTGGCAGTGAGGGCAGGTGTTTGTGGGTCTCAGGCAGGGGACAGGTGTGTGCAG